CAGAGAGTCCTGACAGCCGTTAAACATGATGAGACAGGAGTGTGTGTGTGTGTGTGTGTGTGTGTGTGTGTGTGTGTGTGTGTGGTTACCATGGCGACTCTGGTGATGTTCAGGAGCACGGTGAGACCAGCAGGAACATCCTCAGAGAGTCCTGACAGCCGTTAAACATGATGAGAGCGCAGCTTAGCGCGGCCGTGTCACGGGAAACAAACCGGCATCGCCGCCGTGTTTCACTCGTTGTCAGCACAGATTTTATACCGGCGCGGCTCCAGGGCGCGCATGTTTGACTTCCTGTCACCGGTCGAGGATGAGGAGACACAAAAATAGAACTGGAGACAGACGCGTCCAAGAAAATGAGGATAATTTGACTGGAGACGCGTGTTTTAGTCAAAAGAGACGTTTTTCATTCACGCCTCACTGTCAACGTTATTGTTGCCACAGAATGTGAAAGGCTGATGATGTTCTTCTGTTAGCAAAATAACTTAAAACCTTTTAATTTTTTATGTCTAATGCAACAAACTGCTCCTCAGGGGTAATAAAGATTCTTGAACCTGACCAAGATGGCCGCCACAGGCAAGCAACACTAGCAAACGCAAATAGCTAAAACTTAATTTTATAGATACTTAAAGTGTCTGTGACGTCAATTTTTTGTAATAAATATGAACACATTTTTGGAAAGAGAACATTAATAACATGTTGCTAAACTAACTTCACACTGCTGAGATGAACAGCTGTTGAGATATTTGCATGTGAAGAAACAGGAAGTGATGTCAAAGGGGAATGTCTGCATGTRAACAGAGCGTTGCTGCAATAATTAGAGAAGAAGCTGATGTTGCTTTMGATTATTTTGAGTCATTATCAGAAGCTGTGTTTCCATTTCAAATGTACGCAAAACTTTGTCGATATTCTGTTAATGTCAAAAACACAGTTTCACAACTGCAGTGTTTCCATTAAGTAAGAAATGCTATTAAAGTCGCGTGAATACGTTTGTTCTCGCGATGTCATTACAAACATGGCGGCAATGGATGTAAACACATAGCATGTTGCTACCACGACACTAGCGCTCATCATCAGAGGAGACGTCGGCGTCTTTTATCGAGGCTTTCCAGAGACAAGTCCCTACTTGGGAGCGGCTACGTATGCTGTGTTTTTGGGAAATTGTAGTCGGTGAGTTTACTACTTTATACTACTTCTGTGTAATTAAGTAAGTAAGTAAAGTTTTATTTATAAAACGCCTTTCACAGAAATATATTCACAAGGTGCTGTACAATCATGAACAGTATAAAAATGGTGGAAACAATAAAATGAAACAGAAAAACATAATTACACAAATGCAACGAAAAATTGAAACATCAAATCAAGAAATTAATTTAAAAATTGTAAATCAAACACAAGGTCAATGCAGTTCAAAATATACAATAATACACAAAAACATAACGAATGCGGGGGAGAGAAGTATGGCGTAAGTTAATAGTAAATAAAACGCAGATTGTCGAGTATTCACAATGGAGGTAGGCCTGCAGTAATGGTGAAATGGTTAATGCTTGAGTGAAAAAGTGAGTTTTTAGGAGTGTTTTGAAAGAGACATTGGGCGTCATGCAAGAACATGTTTGTATTCTTC